TTCTCAGAGTGCCCCAATATATCATTAAAATCCCCACATAAAAACCAGAGATTCCCCCAAGTCAGACTATGCCTAATAAGCATCTCCCACTGTCTAGCTCTCAACTCATGATCAGTGCTAGCATAGACAAACACAGCCCAAAAGATACTATCCAAACCACAATATTTAAAACAGACTTCCAAACAAAAACCTAAGCTCCTAACCTCAACCAAAGTGATCTTCTCTGACCAGGTTAAGAATAAACCCCCTTTACTCCCCTCTGGTCTAACATAAACCCATCTATCCTGCAACCTAAGCTTCTTACACAGAGAAATAACAATTTTTTCTTTTTTTTTTTTTCAGATAAAAAAGCAAAATCTGGGTGGTGGATCCTTAAGGATTCCTTAAACTGGGAAATTGTAGAGGGCCCTCCCAAACCTCTACAATTCCACACCGAAACCTTCATTGCTCACTTTGGGACCAGTTTGGGCTGGTTTCCTCTACCTCAGGTAACAAAATATCCCCAGAAAATTTGATTTTCTTCACCATCTGAATCTCCTTCAGATCAGAAGACCCTACCTCCTTAATGGCCTCAGAGCCTCTTTTAAGAGACCCCTTCTCTCATAACTTAACCCCAGACACCCCCACTTTATCCACTTGCATATTCTCAGGGAACTCTTGTTTTTTGGATCTAGGTTTCCTGGTAAAGGTGGATTTTTTCTTTAGTCCAATCTGCCCTCCAACAGTAGAGGGTTGGACCTCCACCTCAACCAGATGAGACTCATTAGAAGGAGGGATCTCCTTAGTGTTAATATCGTCATTCAGAACACTTTGAGAGGAACTCTCTTTGTTCTGAATTGTTTTCCCCCCAACTAGAATGTCCTCAACATGATTACTATCTTTTTCCCCACCCTGTTGAATTTCCTGCTCAGCTGACAATCTGATTCTACCACCATCTCCTATTTCACTCCTAGCTATAACTTGCACAAAAGAGTCAAGTTTCTCTCCCTCAGCACTGGGACTTCCCATAGTTTGAGAGCTAGGATTTCTGTTATACCCTGAAAAAAAAGCATTAACCCTCAACCATTCCCCATACTGCCCCACATTCAAAACTTCATTTTTAATGTCAGTAGATTTAGCAGAGCAGTTCCTATCAGAGTGACCAATTTTCCCACAATAAAAGCAAAAAGTCTGAAGGTTCTCATATCTGAAATCTACCCAGGTAGATTCAGAGCCAACCTTAATGAGGGATCCCCTAGGTAGAGCTTCATTAACATTGATCTCCACCAGGACTTTCACAATTTGGCCAATATAACCATTTGATCCAGGTATTTGGATATCAAGAGGAGTGCCAATCCTCTTCCCAATTTTCAAACCTGTATCCTCAGAGATCCAGTGTAAAGGTAAGTTCAAAATCTGAACCCATAGCTTAATAGTTTCCTCCTCGGGAGAGAAATCTTTGGATCCCTGGTTCTATAGTTTCATAAGAATATATTGTCCATCAAAGGACCAGGTTTTACCTTGGAGGATTCTATCCCTATCTTCCTCACAATGAAAGAGGAATTGAAACTGATTATTACCAAGGCTTCTAATCCTAAAAGGCTTCCTAGTTAACCAAATACTACTCAAAGTAGTTTTCAGCCCACTAAAATTAGCTTTTTTATCCCCAAAAATCTTCCCAATAAGACTTAGCTGACACTCCTTCAGACTAGGAGCAATGTCATTCACAGACAATTCCATTTCTTGTTCCTTATCAGAGAGCTTAAATTTAAGCAATTTGTCAGCTAACTCTTGTTCCATCACCCCCCCAAAAAAACCAAAGAAAAACGGCAGCCACCCCCCCAAAACAACATCCAAAGACCTAACCCACCTACCCTAACCCCTAGACACCAAACTAAGAAACCTCAAAACACCTACCCGCAAATCTACAACTCCCACCCCAACACACCCCACATCTAGACAACCAGAAAGAGCAAGAAAACCTTAATCAATTAACCAACAAATAATCAGCATCTTCACAACAAAAATCCTGATAACTATATTAAAATAATGCATAAAACCAAATTTTAGAACCAATTACTCTAAATACAAGACCAAACAGACAGCCACCCCAAGCAAATAAAATCTCTATAGTTGAAAATAAAGTCATAGTAGCCAACAGTACACCAAGTCATACATAACCAAGAAGGAAATAGAGTCTACCGGGCGAATGTCCACACAAAGGCATATGATAGATGCAGCGAAACACGCAAATCGACCCTAACTCACAAAATAATCAACCCCATCTCCTAATCCAACGAAGACTGACATGGAAGATAACAAACAAAAACAACTCACACAGGAAATCAGATTGGGATAGGAACAATGGGAAAAGGAAATCAGGTTAAGAAAAGATAAACTACGGTACCCACAAGAAGAAGAAACAAGCCACAAACTAAACGAGGAACACCAATGAGATCCTGTGAACCAAATCCAATAGATGGAACTGAAATCTCAAGAGAGAACCGAAACCCTAGAGAGGGACTTTTACAATCTACAAGCTTAGTTTACCTCTATATTCTAATCTACTTTTTTGGCTCTATCCAAATCGCGTTTCCTGAGTCTACTGAGTCCTCCGTCCATACCAGTGATCATTTACATCGCGAATGCCTAGTGTTTAGGGTGTGTTTGTGAAAGAAATAATTTGAGTGAATTAGCTCAAATTAAATTGAGTTTTTTTAATTACTTAAAGTTAATTTTAAAAAAATGGTATAATTAGTAGTTAGTGAGATTTTGAATTTATATTAAAATAATATTTAAAATAAAATAAATAAATTAGTTTGATGTAAAAGTAGGAAAGAGATGATATGAATTGATGGTTAGTTAAAATTATGTGAGTGAATGACAGTGAATTAAAATTGATATGATGTGTAAAAATGATTGATTGTTATTATTTAATGATTAATTGTTATTATTTAATTATATTTAAATTATTGAGGATAGTGGAGTTAAGTTAAAGTTGAGTTAGATTTTGAGTATGAATTAATTTGATTTGAGATTTTTCTTTTACAAACATAGCCCTATATACAAGCTATCCAAAAAAAAATTCAATTATTTTTAGCGAATTACTTTTCTTTTTTATTTACAAATATTATTCAATAAAAAATATTAAAATTTCAATAATGATATAGATAAAAGCATAATATTTAATAATATAAATTAGAGAAATTATGTATTCTTATTTATGATGGGCTCGAGAGCCCTAACACCTAAAATTTGTGTACTGGGAAAAGTTCGTCCATCCACAACCAACATCTACAATGTTTTGGGTCTCTTTTTACGTATGTGACAAATAAATAGACTTAAGTCTATAATGACATGGACAAACACAAGCTAAAAATCTAAAATCTATCCAATGCAAACAAAAAAGTACTAAGTTTAGAATACCTAATAACCAATAAAAATATAATGATAGTAAATGATTGCATTGTATAGGTTCACACTTGGGTCCAAAATAGACCTAAGAGTGGGCCTGGTCTTTTTTTTTATTGTCACATAAGATAGACTAGATTCTCTTTTAATTGCATTGTAAAACATTTTTTTATGGATAAGGTCTATTTTTTGACATGTGCTTTTTTGTTAAGAGACTCAAAGCACTGTGGTGCTCAGAGTTGACACCCAGGCCCAGTCGACCCATTTAGTTCGTTTTGCCATTTTGCATTTGTTTTTTGTTGCGTTTTTCCTTTATTTTTTTCTTTTGTTGAGAATTGAGATTATCTGTCGTTGCCTCCGTCGGCTTTAGTTTTTTCCCTAGACAATAAATTATTTGCTCCAAATACTTGTTCCCCTTTTCTCTCTCTCCTCTGTGTCACTTTATTTCAAATTGATCCAACAGACTCAAACCTCACAATCCGTGTCCACTCAAAAACATGAGCACGACTCGAGACAAATCGGGTCAGGACCCGTTAAAGACCGCAAAAATTGAGCGGAGGAGAGGAGAGGAACAAATGCGAGCTCTGTAGAGCGCCATCTTCTCACTCATCAATTTTGGGGCTTAGGGTTTTGCAAACACGATGAGGTATCAAAGGTCTCCTTAAGCATTCGTTTGCTTCTCTGAAATTTACCAGCTGACAAGTTAATTTGAATGGGGTGTCATAAAAATGCTCACAAATTTGGACTATGATGTCAATTTAGTTAGTCTTAAAATTGTATCAAATACACCCCAAATTTTCTTTTGAGCGAATAACAATTTTAGTTATGAATATTTCAGGTAAGGATGACAATGGTCAGGTCGGGCTGAGTAGTTACGGACCCGGACCTAGCCCACACACCTATCCATGGACCCACCTTGTCTCGTGACCCAGCGACGGGTCCAGCAGGTCGAGCCCGCGACTTGGCTCGTTCCAAGGTGGGGCGGTCTTCCCAATTTCTTTTTTGTTTATTTTGTAGATTCCCCAATAATTCGTTCAAGTCTTATTGTAACTCATGAAAAGAGAAACAAATAATAGTTCACTCATCAATCTTGGACAACTGACGTTGAATTTTTCAACATTTTTTCAATCTCGTTGGTGGCAAAGAACCTTCAACGCACGACTCAGGACAAATCGATTATCTAAAATTGATGGATGAACTATTGTTTTGTTCCTCTTTTCATGGTGTACAATTTTCCTTCATTAATCAGGTTGACTTGCAGGACAAACTCATTTGGACTGAGACTTAAGATGGAAGATTCACTGTCAGTTTAGCATACAACCTCATCATGGCAAAGAAAGAAGCCAGCTCCTCAGGAAGTAGATATCAGAAGATGTGGCAGGTGACCTGGAAACTACCTATTCAATAGAAGTTAAAGCTGTTTATGTGGAAATGTTGGTTCGGGTATCTCAGTACCAGTGACCAGTTAGCCAAAAGAGGAATGGATATTGACACTACATGCCATGTTAGTGGGAAATATGTTGAAGACTTGGATCATATTTTCTTTCATTGCACAAGAGCAAAGACATGCTGGAAGTTGATAGGTGTTCAACGGACTGCTTCCCAACACTCTGATTGCAAATTCCAAGTTTGGTGGTAGGATCTTTGCAATGCCAGGACAGATCAAGTTATGGAAGACAACATGAGCCTTTCTATTTACTTATTGTGGTGGCTCTAGAAGACGAGATGCTCTTGGATCTTCCGTAAGGATTGGAAAGATACAAGGACTATTGCAGCTGGGGTTACATCTGCTTGGCTTGAGTTTATAGGAAGCTCCTCATTAACAAGGAACTGGTTGTGGATACTGATGGTTTGAGGGGGATTAGTGAAGAGAGTTTTCTTTCATAGGTAGGACTGTGGGATCCAGCCAACCACCATAAGCCACCATTTTAGAATTAATAAAGAAATGAAAGTGGGTGGCTTAGTCACGCCCACCATTTAAAAAAAAAAAAGAATGAGCCCACCATTATGGAAAGGAAGGTGCCGAGCAACAAGTTTTTTTCTTTTCACATGTACTTCCCCTTCTATAAATAGAGGGGACATTCAGCAGAACAAATGCACCAAGCGAGAAGAAAAAAGAGAGAGCAAGAGAACAAGAAAATATTTCTTGTGAGTGTTATTTTTCAGTGAGAGAAAAATAGAGTGTTGAGTAAATCCTGTGAGTGTGAAAAAAATACACCGGATTGGGTATCTTCTCTATTACTCCTTGTTTGTAATATTTGAATAGGAGTGGGTCTCACTGAGTCACTATATTTTACATTTCTAGTGTAGGGGAGTGTGAAAAGATATTGTAATTATCTTGAAATTATAGTGGAATTGTTCGGAGGTTGTCCCGTGGTTTTTTCTTCTACATTGGAGGTTTTTCCACGTAAAATCTTGGTGTCTTATTTCTTGCATATAATATTTATTTCGGATATTCTTAGTATGATCTGTGGTCGCAGTTTAATCTGATCTTCCACATCAGAAAAGAATTATTCTTGTATTATTGCAAGAGATTTTCTTTTGTCATTCTTGAGTTACTGTGAGATTATTATTTTTATTCACCATTTCACATTGGTGTTTTTAATATACACCTTCCA